GATTAAACCAGGGGTGGAAAGAGCAGATCACCAAAGCAGTCAATGTGTTTAGGCTCAGTGAGATGCCCCCTTCCCCATTTGCAGCACGAGTCATTCTTATCTGGGAATGGCTCGGTACATACAGCACCACTATCAGCAGTGATTCTGATCTGCCAAGATAAGACCCACTAGCTGGGTGTGGTGGCGCACACTGGTAATCCTAGCACTTGGGAGGTGCAGGCTCATCACTGTGAGTTCAAGGCCAGCCTGAACAACATAGTGAGATACTGTCTCAAGAAAGAAAAAAAAAAGAAAGAAAGAAAAGACTAGCAGGTTTGCTTTACTTATCTGAAAGTGAATGTGCCCTTGAAGAGCAATTTGTCTTTGACTTTTATGCATATACGTTGATCACTCTGGTCTCTAACAGTTTAACTTACACACCTATATGTATATGCATTTACCACCAACTCAACCCATTATTAAAAACAATTAACTGTGAGGGCATTAGGCTGGGACAGCTCCAAAACCTTGGATGCCTATATAAGCAAAATGTAGATAAATGGTTATAGCCTAGGAAAACAAAAAATCTTAACCAATCAGAAACTGCCAATTGAAATTTCACCAGTCAGAATCTGCCAACTGACCTCTAACTATGGACTTCAACCAGTCAAATTTTTTTTGAAGCAAAACACTTATTGGTACATTTTAGCTATACATAATGATAACACTCATCATGGGGAATTTGCTCCTGTACATGATCCTGCCTCTTTCTTCCCCAATCCCTCCCCTTTGTCCCCTCTCCTCTCCCAATGTACAAAAGCTTTGTTCCCATTTTTTCCTTCTATTTTCACTCTTTTTCTTGTCCCTTCATTCCTTTCCCCTCTCCCCTCTTCCTTGTTTCCCTTCCCATCTGAACACATTTTTCCCATTTCCCAAAATCTATCATACATTTCAGTCCTTATTTCCACTTTCAGCTTCTCACACCAGAGAAACAATGGTATTGGAACACGTGTGTAGAATTTATTTCACTTAAGAGTATGGTCTCAAGGTGCATCCATTTAGCTATAAACGTCTCAAGCTCGTCCTTCTTTATGGCAGAGTAGTACTTTGTTGTATTAAAAAAAAACCACATCTTCTTTATCCATGTCAGTTGATGGGCATTTGGGCTGTTTCCAAGCATTAGCTATTACAAACTGTGCTGCTATAAACATGGGTGTGGATATATCACTGTGGTATGATGCTTTTAATTCTTTCGGGACAATACCAAGAAGGGGAATAGCTGGTCAAATGGAACCTCTAGTTTTAGTGTTCTGAGAACTCTCCACACTGTTTTGTCTTGCTTCTGAGAATACCTTTGACTCTTCCTTGCACCTGCCATTGTTGGAGCCCACACACTTGCAGTCTGGGGCTGCCAAATCCAGAAATCATTGCCTGCTAAAATAAACTCTTGAAAAATTGTAATGCAGATTGGGCATGGTGATAAATGCCAATAATCCCAGAACTCTGGGAAGCTGAGGACATTTAGCAAGACCCTGTTTCAAAATTCAAAAAAAAAAAAGGGGTGAGGATGTAGTTCAGTGTGAAGGTCCTGGATTCAATTCCCTGTACTGCAAAAGAAACCAAGAAAACAAACAAATACAAAATTAATGTATCTGAGTTTATCTTTTAGCACCGTTTCTTCCCTCTAACTCACATTATAATTGATAACTTCTCCCCAGCAAAACCCCTAATTTTGCTTCCTTCAATTGGACAGCATTTAACAACTCAGCAATAATCATGTATTATCTTTTGGTGCCAAACACCCTTACTTTGTTTAACTATTCCTTAAAGAATTTAGCTTATTTTAGGATCAATGTTTGTCATCATTCTGATCTTTACCTGCCCAGAACCCACCTTTAACATAATTCCCCAAAGAAGGATGGGTCTTATTATAAACTCAACAAGTGTCATGTTATCCATCAGAAATACAGGAGGGGCTCTGCTTCTGACTGCCAGGCCTTCACTGCTTCTCCCCCTTCTCCCTCTGCCATGCTGCTCTACCTTGGAGCCAGCCACCTATGGACTAGAACCTCTACAAACTGAGAGCCAAAGTAAACCTCTTCTCCTATATTTAGATTCTGGGAGTTGGGTATTGTGTCTCAGCAATGAGAAAAGTAACTAAAACAGATTTTGGTACCAGAAAAGTAGCATCATTACTGTGATGCTACCTGACTGTGTGGTTCAGAAACCTTTGGAACTGACTTGAAGGAGGGGTTTGGAAAGGTTTGGAGACTCTGGAGAAGCAGCCCTAGAATGCTGTTAGTTGAACTCCATGGGATATTCTGATCAGAGCTCAAAAGACCAGAATGTTGACAGTATGCAGCTGGTAAAGACCGGGCTCAAGGGGTTTCAGTTGGGAAGAACTCCATTGCTCCATTGGCAGTTGGAGGCCATGTGTGTTATGCTGTGGCAGAAAATTTGTCTACATTTTGCTCATGTCTAGAGGCTTTGCAAGAGATTGAGATTAAGGGCAGTGGGCCAATTAACCTGATGGAAGAAATTTCAGGGCAGCCCAACATTTAGGTGTTGGCTAGCTTTTAGCCTGCTCTACCTTCAGAACCAAGAGCAAAAGGCACAACTGAGTGGTTTAAAAAGTTTTGTGTTTGGCCAGAAAGGAAGCTTTAGTAAATAGGGGCCTACAAAAATGGAGTAGAGGGAAGCTTGGATGCTGACAAGATTAGTATTAAAGAAAAATCAAATACTTTGGAACAGGACAAGAGAAAAAAATGGCTTAAAGGCATGTGAGGAATCATTGAGGCCTGCAGGCTCAAAATTGCAAAAGTGAAACACTGCTTTGAGAAGACAGCCTCAGGACACTCTATTGGAGAAAGGCCTCCTAGGGAATCGATTCCCCTGGGGATTCAGTTTGCCTGGTTCAGCCTTTCAGGCACTTGCAACTTCTGGCAAGATGCGAAAGGGCTCAGCTACTTCTCCAGCTGGTGGCAGACCTTGGTGTCATCCGGGCATGCAGAATGCAAAAATTCTGGAATCAGGGGGGCTTCTACACAGATTTCAGAAGGCCTGGCAGGCCAGGCATCGTGCCCCTGAGAGGACAGTGTGTGAAACTGTGAGTGTGAAGTCAAAGGTGCAGTGGAGACCCCAGGAATTTGGAGATGTCAGAAACATGCAATGTCTGAGGAAAGCCACAAGCAGTGAGCAAAACCAGACCAAGAGTGAAGGCACGAGGGTTTAAAAGTACCAGCAATGCTAACTGTTAGGACTTTGGCAACTCATAGAGATGGACTGAATGCATTTTGGCATACAGATGTGCATGGATCTTTTGGGGTCCAAGGGCAGAATGTTGTGGTTTATATCCAGATGTCTCCCCAAAGCCTCAGGCACTCATAGGTGGGGCTTTGGGGAGGTGGTTGGATTATGGGAGTGTGACATTCATCAGTGATTAGTCCGCTGATAAGTTCATAGCTAAATGTTGAGAGGTGAAGCCTGGTCCAAGGAGATGGGTTCCTGGGGGTGTGGCCCAGGAGGGTATTATCTCCCTCTCTCATCCCTTGGTCTCTGCTTCCTGACTGCCTTGCCTTAAACTTCTTCTTCTGTGATCCCCCTGTACGATGCCACCCTGATATGGAACCAGCAGACTATGGACTAAAATCTCTACAGACCGTGAGCCAAAATAAACCTCTCCTCTTTAAAACAAAACAAAATACAACAAAACAAATACAGGAGGGATTCAGCCAGTCACCTGGAGTACTCCGTCAATAAGCTATTAGTATTTTACAGCCACATACAATCATGTTTGAGCCTGCAGTCTACTGGTATACTGTAATATAAAGCAGAGATGTTTTCTGGAGAAGGCTCCTTTTTAAAGGCTGGCTTCAGTCTTCTCCCAACCCCCTTCCACCCACCAGCCTCTGAAGGAGAGTCATGTGGTTAAGTCCTGGCCAGATGTCATTTTGTGTTTTGCTGAGATGACATCCAGAGATAACATCCAGGCTGGAGCAAACTGCTGAGATCTAACACACCAGTATCTTACTGTCACACTGAGGGGAGACCGAGGAAGAGGGGCAGTTATTACATTTTGCCTGAAGCAAAGGAAAGTGAAGCCCTAATCAGAAACTACTCATTGTTCCTATGCTGCTGTAGATGGCGATATCCACAGACATGGGTACTGAAAGGCACGGAAAGTAATCATGTTTACCTAGAATTATTTACTATTTAATAGTTACTGATTTAATAGTTACTGCCTTGTTCCTGAGCCCTCCACCCCCAAGCTCTGAGTCCCTGTTTTGTATTAGTTAATTTAGGCATTGGGTAATACATAGAAAGTTTATTTAGTCTCTCAGTTGTAGGGGCTGGAAAGTCCAAGATTGGGTATTGTTACCTCGTGAGGGTCTCAGCCGTTTCATAATGTGAAGTTGGAGGGGAAAGTAGAACTGTGTGGAAGAGGCAAAACACAGAGGTGTGCTTACTTTGTAACAATTCATTTTCAAGGTAACCAATTCAGTCCCATCAGAATTAACCTTGTCCCTTGAGAATTAAGGCAATCCTATGAAAAAGACATTAATCCATTTAGGAGGGTTGTGCAGCCCTGACCTCAGCACCTTCTCCGAGGCCACCTCCCAACACTGCTGCTTCAGGAGTCAAGGTTCCAACCATGGCCCTTTGGGAGACACAAACTGTAACAAGGCACTGAAATCTCTTTTGAAGCAGGTAAGGCTCATAAACAGCAAATAAAATATTTCGCGTGCTCTAGGTACATTTATAGGTTTATGCTGGGTTATCTAGTTTTCTGGGTTGAACTTAAAAAGATTTCCTGCTGGTTGTTACCAGAAAACCAGGGTCACGGTTTTAGAGGTGAGTTATCTCTAGTGAACCTCCCGGTTATACCTATTTTTCTTCCCCTTCATCCACAGTGATTGCCCACCAAAGAATGATTTATTTTGAAATTTCTAAGGCATTTTTACATGGCTCTTTTAAGTTTTGTTCCTGGTGTCCACTGCCTAGATAATAACCACATGATCACATTTCATATTCGGATGGTTTTATTAACAAGTATATAATACATATATTGCATACTGTATATAGAATATGAGGACTGTACAGTACAAATTTATGTTCACAGTTTGACATGACAAAATGTCATTACTCAATTCCCATTGGACTACAGAGTAGAAACAGAGAAAGTACATTAAACATTCACATCTTTAGTAAGAAAGATTACCAAAATGTTTCAGTATTTGCAAGTATACTAATGCATGCTAAAAACCTTTACCCATTCAGTCTTATTAGCTTATAAAATATATTACACTTTATTAAAAATTTCTGCATAGTTTATACAAGTATTAAAGTACTGAAAATGTAATAATCCTGCTATACTTGCAGGTATGGTTTAAGAGATGCTAAGCAGAAAGATTATTTTGACCCTCTAACACTAAGTACATAACAGAAAAAAGTGCTAGTATTTGTAAAACACGGTGTAGCCCTCGTTTAATGCATGTAAAATGGCTTTGTAAATGTATTACTTAAGTGACTTTGCAATCATTTAGAAATTGTTAACCCTGACCAAGAAGAGAATAAAGACAACTGAGTTCACAAATGACAGCAAGACAACTGTGTATGTTCTAACCAAATTATTTTAAAACCTTAGATCTTTGAGATTGTCTTTAAAACAATCTATAATCAGGAATGATGGGCAGATATACAATATCAGCAATATAGTCTTTCAAATTCCACATTAGTGCAATACTGATAGTGCAGATGGGTGTTTGATAAAACATACATATACATATATAGTTCCTTTGTACTTCTGTTCCAAGGCTCTTGAAACTGCTGTGTATTTAGCATCTCCTTAGTTGAATGTAGCTATGCTGAATATATTCTCCAAACCAAGCAATTTAGAATGTTAATGCCCATTTTATGATGTAGAATCACATTTTAAAACTCTGAAATATGATGGATTCTGATTTAATTTTTATGACTTTGGCAAGATGACATTTGAGCAATAACTGAATAAACTAATAAACAATTTACATGACATGAACTTCATGTTTATAAATCATTCAGAAATTTAAAATAGTGTGATTAATCACCATTGATAGTAATATGGCACATCATTAAAACCACAAGATCAAGGGCATCTTATCTCTTATCTGAGGTCTTCCACAATAACAGCTAAAATGACTAAGAGACTAAATTTCTCAACTATCATAGTAAAATACAAATATATATATGGAAAATTTGGTAAGGGCCAATTGGTAACTAAAAAATATCAGACTAGCAAAGAAATAGAGAACAGCCTCTCTGGGTTGCTTTTCTCTCGGAGTTAAAATGGATCTTTGTTAATGAACTGTTAACAGGACCTAAGCAAGCTTAGTAGCATAATACAGTCTTTTGAACAAGATTTAAATATACCATAGCATACATCAAATTTCATGAGAGCTCATGAAGCTATTAATTGCACTCCAGACTCAAAACTCAATCCAAGATCAATTCTGTCCTTTTTTGTCCCTTTCCCCTTCTATATGGGTTGGGATAGAGACTGGTTATTTCCACCCAAACAAAAACATTCCTCGCCTCCTCAATTCTTCAGTGTGTTTTGGAAGAATCATTCAAAGACACGAACACTTTGGCATGAATGTGACTAAGCATAGACAATATAGACAACACCTGCTTTTCTAAGAGCCATTTCTATTCCTCAATTCATGTTACAGCTGCACAAAAGAAAACAACAGCCCAAATAGCATGTTACGATCTTTAAAAAATTTTGTAGTGCGAAGGAAAAAAAAAAAAAAGAAACCCAAGTGCCAAGATAACAAATTTCTTTACATTTCTCACCTTCATTTCCTTTCAGCTGCTTCACAGGGCTGAGTGGGACCTCTTAGGTGTGCAGTCCCTGTAACTTTTAACCCAGTGCGACCAAAGCAAGCTCCCCACACAATTCGCAGATCTCCAGTCACTCATTTGCTGATATTTAAAAACTTAAATCGTGTATTCCTCCCAGCTAAGGCTGTACTGGATCCTGAGTTGCAGCTGGGATGGATCTGCAGGATTCCATTCTTCGCTCTCCTGCTCCTCCATCCTTCACCGAGGAACGAAGGGGCATTTGGATATAGGCAACCATGTTTGACCACCACTGCCCATTTTCTTCAATCTTGAGACCAGTGGCATTTCTCTGTATGAATTATTTTTACTGGCATTTAGACTATGGTGCTCAAAAGCCTGCTTTTGAAAAACTTCCCCCATTAATGGTGTTATTTATCTTCAACATAAACACGAGTCATTTTTTTTTTTTTCACTTTGTTCTTCTGACAGGATACTTGCTAGTGATGGGAAGTAACTAACTCCAACAGTAAACTTCTGGGAATATTCAAGCTATGTATATAAGGCCCTGAACTGTGGTTTTCCGTATTTTTTCAGGAATCTGCCCCCAGAATAAAGGTATATGTGCTTCACAACTAGTTATATTTACAGAGTGCTACTCAGGGCCTACTTGAACAAATCTCCTAAAACTTTAGCAGATGCTCATTTATGATGTGTGCCATAAACACAAATGACAACCAGTCTGGCACCTTATAGCTTACACTGACGTTTCATATAAAAGCTATGTGACTAACTTGGTATGGGAATACAAGTACCACTCAACATTTCCCTGCTTGCAAAGTTACACGACAAATTGGGTAAAGGGAAGACTATCCATAGTTTTACCCTAAAAATTCTTACTTTTTACTTCTGGGCAAATATTTTCGTGGTTTTGTTACCCTCAACACTTGATGGTCCATACTAGGGATTCTGCAGGAATGGCGACCTCTGCATGGGTAACTCCATGGGTGTTTGGTTTTTGCAGCATATTTGTGCTCCACTGAGCACGCGAGACTGAAGCCCTCTGGTTAGCACCGCATAGCTAACCAAGCAATGACACCTCGTTGACAAACCCCAGCTAGGAGGAACCAGCAGCTTCTCTGCAGCCCCTGCTCCCTGCCCCTCTGCTTCTCCTCTATGCTACAGAAGTCCGGCATCTGTCCCTCTGAACTGCTACCCATCACCCACCTAATTAAACAGCTCTGGCTCATCTCCTAGTGGTGGCAAAGCCCTCAATGTGGGCTTCAGGCACAAAGAAGGGCAAAGGCCTTGATTTAGATGAGGTGATAATCCAGGTTGTGAAGCAAGACATGTGAAGGACAATGGCAGAGGTGACTGTACTGGCACAATCCCCTGCTGCAAGTCTCCTAACTGGTGAGTGGGGACCAACCTTCTTTTTGCTGCTGAGCATAAAATGAGATCATGGTGCAGAGGTACGAGTGTTTCTGGCAAGGACTAGCAGGCTAGATACTGTATTTCTAATACATTTACTTTGACATTCTTTTGAGGAATACATGGAGAAACTGACAATTGGTTGTGTTAGTTTACATGTTCCCTTGTTCTCATTACATTAAACGTATCTGTAAGAAGGGTTTGCTTAGCATCCCAGGAAAAAAAAAAAAGTGTTCACATTCTTTAGGTCTGACCCGTGGTAAGGAGAGGGAGGATTAGAGAGTATCAACTACTGACCATACGGAAGTTTTGAATGATATAAATTCAGAGGTTCAGACCAGCTGAACCAAAATTAAAATGTACATGTAAAAAATGAGTTAGATAATGGGAGAGAGGACAGAGAGAGCCAGGAGAATGGGGAGTCGAGCTGAAGTGGGGGACGGAGGCTTTCAGACTAGCATGTGGCGTTTCCGATGCAGGGCAAGATGGTCGGAACGGGAGAAGCTGCGGTCACAGTCTGGACACTGGAAAGGTTTGATTCCAGTATGTTTTCGGAAATGTCTTGTGAGTTCATCAGACCGAGCAAACTTCCATGTGCATCCTTCCCACGTACATTTGTAGGGTTTTTCTCCTGCAAAAATAAATGAATTTTTTTTAAAAAGCTTAATTTTTTTTTTTTTTTTGAAGATAGTAAAGGTAAAATTTTAAGCTAATGCTCTTGAAAACTACCGTTTCCAAGATAAGGTCATACATTTGTTCTTCACTAATACAGTGCTTCATAAACCACTATAGGACAAGAAAAAATGAAACTAATTCTCTTAATGTTTTAACTGACTGTCTGCCAAAAAAAGAAACCACACACACACACTTGGGCCTTGATCTCCAACTCTTTTTTGTTTTTTGTACTGGGGATTGAATCCAGGGCCTTCACACTCAGCTATATCCCAAGCCCTTTTGATTTTCATTTTTTAAAATTTTGAGACAAGGTCTTGCTAAGTTGCCAGGTGGGACTTGAACTTGTGATCCTCCTGCCTCAACTGAACCCAGCTATCTCCAAGTCTCAATCCCACTCAGGAGCTTAATTCTAAGTAGTACTATGCATTAAGTCCAAATTGAAAGTTTGTGGGATTTTCCTATATTTTCTAAAAATATGAAGTCTCTTATCTACTAAAACACATGTTAGGGAGTTCAATACCCTATTTTCTTTTTCAGTCAGTAACAATTATTCCTAAGCATGTTTTAAATGTGTAAGTACCGAAAACACAGTAATTCCTCCCCTCCTTTCAGAAGCCAGGTTTCTACACCGCTCTTGGGTAGGACAATGTAATTTATAGGACTGCAGCTGAAGACCCTTGTGGGAAAATGGTAGGGAGGGTCAGCATGAACCTAAGCAGAGGCTGACTGCAGTGAAACTAGAATTTCACACCAGAGCCTGAGGTGAGATAAACCACCTTTCAAAACACTTTTGTAGCCTGAGGTGAGATAAACAACCTTTCAAAACACTTTTCTATGATTTCCTCAAGATGTTTTCCTACTAAAACATTCAGGAACACTGGTAGCAACTGTACATTTTCTCTACCTATGTAACATGTCCCTATGCTCTGGCTGTTTACTTTCTGTGTTCAAAACTGACCAAGATGGAAGATTTCCTAGAACAAATACGGTAGGCAATGATATAGGAGCTCTTTCAACTTTAAATATATTCACTTTTATTTCCTTTAAGAACACTTCTATTTTCAATTCTACTTCCATGAAACTATTCCATTTATTTAATCTGCAGAAGAATGTTCTTTGCTATCATAAATTTTATTGTGTACATATGTTAAAAGACAGCCCAGAGCAAGACTATGTCCTTGACAGCGAGAGCCCCCCCAGGCAGTGGAGGCTCCATCCCTTTCTCCCTCCTAACTAGAGAAGATGGAACTAAAAGTAAGCGTGAGGGGTCCGCTTGTAGGGATACACTGAATCCATTCTTATTACTACAAAGGTTAATCATTATCAAAAACTATTCTTCACGACCAACAGAGACATCTTTAGATGACAATGACAACTTCTGAGATGCCTAGAAAACTTTCATTATTCACACCAAGTATCCCTTACCCAAAATGCTTGGAACTAGATGTGTTTCAGATTTCATTTCTTCAGATTTTAGAATAATGGTAGGCTTTTCCAGTTAAAGATCCCTAAATCCAGAAATCCAAAGTGCTCCAAAAATCTAAAATTTTCCAACTGTTCTGTTGGTTCTTGAAAAGTTGAGTTTCAAAGCATTTTGAATTTCAGATTAGGGCTGCTCAGCCCATATCAATCTTTAAAAGCCAAAACTGCTCATTTACACATTCTATACTAATACTTCTGAAGACAGATGAAGTCAGCCTGGGGTTTCTAATACCTGTATGTGTTCTTCTGTGTGCTTTCAAGTGGGAGCTTTTAGTGTACACTTTGTTGCATCCATCATAGTCACATCTGTGTATCCTCCGCTTCCTTTGTGTATCTGGGGATTCCACAGGTAAAGGTCTCTTCCCAGGCTGCACTATGACTGAAGGGTGATTCCTGTGAAAGCCAAGGTTAATTCAAGGTGTTAAGCGAAGTGTTGCCTTTTCTTCAGTCTACTAAGAGCATTAACAACACTGGGCAAAACCAAACAAACAAAAAACCCCAACAAAATAAAAAGAAGTTAGCCGATCAACCCGAGAAGCACTGCTATATTCATTCAACAAACATTTAGCGAGCACCTACCATGAGCCAGGCACTGTGCTTGGCAACCGGGACACAAAGATGAATAAAAACAGGGTTCCTGCCCTCGAGGAGCTCACACTCTGGGGGAGACAGACATGAAGATAAGTAATGATAGCAAGAAAGGTTAGGTGCTATGCTAGAAGGAGGTGCCGAGTGCTGGGACAGGCTCTCTGCCACAATAAAAACCTATGTGTAGAACCTCACAGTACAAGGAATGTTGGACACTAGACTATATATTTCAACAGGCTGCACTAACTTTCACAATGGTTCCTTGAAAAAAAAATGTTTTCAAATCCTACATCGCAGACAACCACATTACAGGTTGTATCTATCTTTTATCCTTTATATACAGTAACTGGCATTTAGTTTGCATCTCTTAAAGACTGCTGATTCATGTTTAATTTTCAAATGCTGGCTCTTTTGGCAGTGCTGTCTTCACCAACTTGAACCTTTACTCTTACCGCTGTCTGAGGAAGAGCTCAGTGCAGTTTTAGGGAGGCCAGGAAGCCTGTCACCCATGACAGCGGCTCCCTGTGTACCTGACATCTTCCTTACCTTCCCAATTCCCTCACAGTTCTGAATTTGGGCAATCTTCTAAGGGTGAATCTGCATAAAACCCTACTGGATATCATTACTATAAATTATCTTTTTCTCAAAAAGAAAGGGCAGATTGGGAAAACCACGCAGTATTTTCAGGCTTCCCTACTGATTAATGTACATCATTAAGAAGTTCTAATCAATGCATTCACTTTCTGGATGACTGATTACTCACTATATTATAAGTATTTGTAGCTGGCCTCCATTTATAAAGACTTCTTTCTTGGCTCAGTGTGCTGGTGCATGCTTGTAATCTCAGCAGTTGGGAGGCTGAAGCAGGAGGATTTCCCTGAGTTTGAGGCCAGCCTGAGCTACATAGTGAGCTCAAGGATAGCCTGAACTACAGAGCAAGACCTTGTCTCAAAAAAAAAAAAAAAAAAATTTGTTTTTTAAATCTGAAACTATAGCTCATAAAATGTTCCAAATATGTGAATGAGTGTGTTGAGGGAGAAGATTGGTGTAAAGGAAAAAAATAATTTGATAAGGTAGACAGTCAAACTTGTAAGAACAAAATAAATGAAGTTCAGCTATGAAAATCAAAAGGGACCCTGAAATAAAACTTGTTTTTTATCTCAGTAAAAATTTCAACACACATCCTTTGTCAATGACTTTTTCAAGCATGATAAGAAGCAACTAGGAAAAGCGTAAAAGATGTGCTTATTTTAACTGACTTTACTAAAGAAAACTGTCAGCTGAGTATCACTTTACCCTCCTGCCCTGGTACCTGAAAGGGAGGAGGAGTACAGAACGATGAACCAGTCAAGTTCAGACACAGAAAAGCAAACATGAAGAGGATGGGGGAAACAGGAACAAGAACTTCAGTTACATCTCTACAAATATAGAGAAGTCAGAGTTTTACAGACTGATAGTTTTTAAAATGAGGTTTAGGGCCAGGGATTTAGCTCAGTGGTTTCACTGCCTGCTGTGCAAGTGGCAAGGACCCGAGTTAGATCCCTGGTTCCAAAAAAAAAAAAAAGCTTATTTTTTAACTTTAGAAAATAAAAACCTAGGAAAAAAATGTAATGATTAATTATATTTCATAAGTCTCTGGGAAACTTAGACAGCATCTATCCCGGCAGTTTCCACTGTAAAATAGAGATGATGACAATTCCGCCCCTAAAGCTTCTTGTGAGAGACAATATCGTCTCAGAAGGTTGTTGTGAGAGCTGTACATGAAGCACCTACAATACACATACACAACTAAACAAGGCTATCTGATCCCTAGGCTTTTTGTTCTAAAATAGCTTCATATATGTAAATAAATAACAAAAATAATGAAAGGCATTTGATATACCTTTGAGAGCCCTTAAGAATTATCCCAAAGCTCTCCCTGTAGGATGAAGCAAATGGACTTCAAAGCTATGAGTCTGCCTTTGAAAGGGAAGGAATTCCTGAGCCAAGTACTGCTGGGGCTGCCTCATGGCAGCGGGACTGGGTACTTAGTTTCAAGTGATTTTTTCCTGGCTAGCTGGTTTCCTATGTGGGCTGCTACTGGACCCATGCCAAGACATTACTCAATCACATCTGTGAGAGAATTACTTAAAGAGTCTATGTCCCAGTTGTGGCTAATCTCAATTTTTTTGAGAAGCAAAATACATTTTTAGTTCAACATTCAAAAAAGTGTATTCCTCACTAGTCATTAAAAGCCACTGAGTATGAGATCACCAAAAGAATATTACTTAAAATAGAAAAAAAAGGGTTTTCTTTTGAGAAGTATTCAGATTATGGGAGGCTGCCTTTAAATATTCTTCTGTAATTCACAATAGCCTAGACTCGGCCCAACACTTGCTCTGTCAATGGACCTCTCCCTATGCAGGCACTTGGGTTTATGGAGTTTTACAGCCTCTTTCACCACCCAGGCAGATCAATTCCAAGCGCATGTCATGTTGCTAGCTACCCTGCCAGAGAGATCTCTCACACCCAGAAGGAGGCACTTCAGCCTACAAGATATGTCTATTCTGTGGTTGTTTTCACCTGAGTGCATGTGTGGGTGCAACCACTCAGCTATGGACAAGGTGGCGGGGAGAGCAATCATTCTGAAGCAGGAGACCGAGTCCAGGTCTCAAAGTCAATCTGTGACCACAGATGAATTACCTAACGTCTTAACTTGTCTGCCTTCTCCATGCCTGTTGTAGGGAAATGCAATGGCTCCTTTAAAAATACTTGGAAAGTATTTTGGCGCGGCAAGGTGGGGTGGGGTGGATGTATAACTGTAAGAGCAATACAGTACAACTCTGAGACACTCCTTTGGTCTAGCTGGGTAAGGAGATTCAGTCTCAGTCTCATCTATCAGGGAGTGTAAGACAGTGCCCCCCCCCCCAGTAGAAGACTAATTTGGTGGTGCTACGATATGAGCTAGGATGAAGGACACATCCACAGCATACTTGAAATCATCAGAAAAATAGCTGTTTTAGGACTTCACATTCTGTGACAAAGTTGTGTGAGGGAGAGAGCAGAGAAGATAAAGGTGGGCAAGACATTTACTCAAGTTGGAGAAAAAGTGATGTGGAACGAAGACGACAGGAGGAGTTGTTGCCTTGGTACTGGGAAGCTGGTTGCTAAGCCCAGTGTTGAAGCACTACGACATGAGATGATTATGCTAACAATTACCATAAAAAATGAAACAGAGGAAATGGGCAGCAAGATGAAGTGACTAGCCCAAGGTCATATATCTGGTGGAGCAGAACTGGACCCAAAGGCCATCTTTTCAGCTACTGCAAATAGCCTCCATCATAAGCACTGGGGAAGTAAAGGACCTTCCCAGTGACCAGCCCTATGATGGATATTCTTTAACCCTCGTGTGGCTCCATCCTGTCAGAGCAAGTGTGTAGATGCTAACTGATACAGTGCAACCTTCCTAGTAGGAAGGCAGTGCTACAGCCCAATAGGGTTAAAGACCAAGAATAAAGAGATCTTTCAGTGCTGATCATCTCTAGGTTGTGCAAGTGACCTTTTGTTGCCAGCACTGCTTTCAGGACTTGTTTTGGAGTCTCTTGGGTCTGTGGTTGCCCTACAGATTTTGTTTAAAGACATTCCCATAACTGATACACTATACTTGGTGAGAGGTAACAATTGGAGGACTGTGGGTGTCCACATGACAACTTTTCATGATCTAAACTTGCATGAAATATCTAGAACACTAAGTTCCATCTATGCAAAGATTTGCATATATGCAGAGAAAAACCACGTAAAGTCTGAAGAATGAAAAACACCAAAAATAGTTGATGAGGTAAGATGCAAAATCTTGGGTGATTATCCCAATGAAAGTTGACGTAACTGTTGCCACACGTTGTTCATGTAACAGCGAGCACATTGTTTTTGGAGAGATTCTCCCATCTTGACCAGAGGTCCTGAGCCCCAATGGCCAGTGGCTGCCACACACCACGGAACACTTCTGGTCATCCACAGCACATCACATGTTTTAATCTTGTGCTTCCATTCCAGGCCCCAAGATGCAGGCTATCACACAAAGGCTGGTTACGCCTAAATATACTTACTCTTGCAATAATGCTTGCGGGGGGGACACTGAGTTCATTAATGGGGGTGTCATTTCTTCAGGATAATAATCTGTCCTCTGTGGTTCGGTTCCAGGTTCTATTTTAATTTTTTTCTGTAATATGGGCTTCTCATATGATTCAATTACAGGAACTAAAAAATAAAAATAGAAAAGTCACTCTACGTACAAGTTATCGATTTCAGCTTTTAAAAGCTCACTGCACAGCTCCTATTGACAACACTGATGTGTGAATATTTGCTCATGGCAAGATTATTGTAGGAATGACTGTTAAGAGATTCTCCTTTCTCCCAATTAGTGTTGCGCCAGCAGGCAGCAAACAAGACCTAGACTTCTGAGACACAAGCCTCCTAATGAACCTTCTTTACAAATGTTGGCTATCTTTTTCAAGTCCTCAGACACCAGTTGGAAAATAAGGTGCTTTTAAGAACTAGCAGTTATCATCACAATCCAAAAGTATTTATTAAATGTCCTCTGTACCCAGAACCATTTTGTATTCAATAAAGCAAAATTGAAATCCAGCTTCTTGCTATCCCTAAGTTGACAATTGTATAGTATGGTAATCATCTCAGGGTATTCAAAAGACAACCTGATTTGTGGGGGTTCTTCCAATACTGACACTTCAAAACAAAAACAAGGCAATGTCTTAGATGATTTTCTCTGGAGAGCTCAAGGGCTTTGAGTTATGCTTCCCCACCCAGACTGGGGCAGGCCTGGCATGTTAAGGAAGTACCACAGCAGAGCCGTGGTGTTTTTTACCTTGCATGCTACTGCTTGAATTTTCCATCTCCTCTGACAAGGAGACCATGAGCGGCTGCTGGAGGTGGCTGGTGTACATAAAGGGGACGGGTTGCACCACAACTGGCTGGATGACGGGCAGGATGCCCGGGCTCCGGATTCCGTGCCGAGAGAGAGCAGCTGCCATCACTGGGGGCATGGACAGAGGCATGCTGAAGGGCTGGACACCTGGCGAGGAGGGGGAGTACTTTTTAATTGGCGGGCTAGAAGAAGGCATGCTCAGCCCCGGTGATGATCTCCGGTGAGAAGATGAGAACTTCAGGGAGGGGGGAGAATTCCCAGCCGAAGGTGGTGAGCCACGCTTGTTCACTGTGAGGTCCACTGGCTCCATCTGTATTCCGTGCGATAGGCCTTCTGGGGTCTGGAAGAACTTATCAGGCAACGGTGTGGAGTAAATGACCCCATACTTGCTGGGCTTCATGGACTCCATGTAATTGGATGGGTAGGACTATTGGAAAGGAAAAAAAAAAGAGAAATGTGTGAACAGTGAAGTGAGAAGTATATGTACTTAAAATATGAATTAAGACAAATATATATATATATATATATATATATATATAAATGTATTTTTGATCATATGGGCTTTAAAGAGTTGTTGAGATATATACTTGATCCTCCTCAAAAAAGGCCATGAGAGAGATGGTCTAGCAAGCATTAGAACTAAGGTCAGTGCAGTTACTGGGGCACGTGGAAAATCTGAAATTTAATTCTAAGATTCCCACATCCAATGTGAAGGTTGATACCTGACAAAGTTCTAACGCAGGTAATATCACAAGCCTTGTGGACCTTTATTGCTGGGAGCTGGCTTCAGAGATCACCAAGAATTAGCCAAGCCACACTAACTTCATTGCTTTTCTGATGGCAGGAAAAGCTCTCTAGCTTTAGTGTCTCTAACCTGTGTAGGATATGTAACATTTCACATTTCTCATGACAGGCTTTTGTATAATGAGAAATGGAGCTATGTGATAGTTCTTTCTGATGGGCTTCCACTGGTGAGCAATCCATGCCTAGGGTGGCCCATAATCCTAGTCTGCCTGGGGCTGCTCTGGTTTTGGCTCTTGAAGTCCCAGAAATCTCATCTTTGGCAAACCAGGATGGTCATTCACCCTCCTTATCTATGTACTCAAGGCAACCCTCCCTAGGGCAATTATGTCCTTGAACCCAACTTTTATGATTTGGAGGCAATACCAGCTCATAACACAATCAGGAAAATGCACCACTGGGACCTTATAATTAAACAGCCTAAAAGGACTATTAATTAATCTCTTGGCTTCCCTAGCCCTTCCAATGGCCACTTATGTGCACTATAATAATTATGAGAGAACAGTGACTTTGCCTGGGATTACTACTTGGATCACACCTTTTTCTTCCCCAGCCTAGACTGAATGAATCTCCTCCTGGCTGTGCACTGTCATCAAATGCATACTTTGGTCCCTCCTTCGGGCCAAATGAGCATCAGGCCACCTGGGAGTAGAGGATTAGGAAGTAAAATCGTTATCACCTAACTCTGTCTTTACCTGGTTTTGATGTCAGTTTCTCATCCTTATGTGTTTTGTTTTCTTCTGCCCTTTCTTTCTTTATCCAGATCATAATAATCTGTGTAACCGCCCAGTGTAAGTGATGCCCATAGTAAGGTGCACGCCTCACTGGGGGCACCTACAATGCTGACAGATGGGACACAAGGGAGGAAAACGCATTGCTTTAAAATGGTTATGTGTTTACTTCAATGTGCATGCAAGAAAAGTTATACTTTCACAGTCATGACATACAGTTCCCTTTTAAAATAAATTTATTATGTTGAAAAACTATAAAAGAAGGCATGAAAAATGGCTCAGTAAGTGCATGTGCTCCAAGACTACAACTTGTCAAGGTGGTACTGACAAGACTTTTTTTTTTTCCAGTACCAGGAATCAAACTCAGGACCTTGTGCTTGCCAGGCAGGTGCAGGGAGCTGAGCTAAATCCCCTCCCCAAGGTGGTACCGAATACCCACCTCCTGGGAGGTTGTGAGGTTAAAGTTAAAATTGGATCTGATGAGATAACGTCTATAATGAGTTTAACATAAGGAGCAGCACATCAGGTTGTTGAAGAGGTCCCTTCCCGTCCCCTTATACAAAAGCTACATGTTATAACAGGCTGTCAGGCTCTAAATAAGGCTTCTCAAACTTTAATGCGCATTCAATTTCACCTGGGCATCTTGTGAAAATGTACATTTTGAACCACTAGGGAGTAGCCCAGTGTACCATGGACCACCATTTGAATATCAAGGCTCTAAATGACAGAGACGTAGAATAAAAGTAATAAAGGTCAATCGAAAGAAGAGAAAAAAATTCTAACCATGAATACAACTTAGAAACAAGGGCCAGAAGGAAATAAAATATATATAAATTTTTAGTACCAGCTTTGGGCTCTATATTGAAGATTAAAGGGAAAACAGACGATTTCTTCTACCTTACTTAGATCCAGGGACACAGAAATGCAACACAAAGCGAGAGGTCCAAAAAATATGGAAACATTAACATTAAATATTAAATATATTTAAATTTAAATATTAAAATAGGCATTATTAAAAGAAGTACAAGGCTCATTAAAAATATTATAAATTATGAACCATGAAGGTTTCAGGAAGTAATTAAATATAGGAAAGAGAAAGATTTGTCCTAGTTATAAAATTTAACGTGCTTCATATAATTCTCCAAAGGGCAAAAGTTCTGGTACTAGCAAATAACTTCAGGAAATTGGAGACAGCATTGTTTCTATTCACCAAAATGGGGCTTTTCTCTTTATTTTCAGCCCTATTCTTCCAAGACCTCCTTATGACCTAGATTTTAAGGCCAGTAGTTATTGGGAGCTAAATAGGAAGCAAAACGAGGACATACTTTTATTGCTGTCATTGTTGGATTTTTTCTACTCATGTTATGAGTTTAAGGCAAGTAGGAATTTAGAACCTGGGTAACTTGTAAATTTTGTATTTTCAGGCTTCTCAAGCCATCAAGAAAAAAGAAGCCACACATCAAAGTACATTTTACCAGCAGTATACACAGTTTCTTTTTGAGTTTGCTCTCAATGGAACAGCCCCACCCCTATGTGTTTATTCTGAAGTACCAGGCTAAGCACAGGGAGACACATTTGGACAGACACCCAACCCTGAGTAGGTAATTAACTATTTCCAGTCCAACTCTCTCACCAAAAGGTGAAGAAATAAGGTCCTCCAAACTGGCTCAGTGGCAAATTTCCCTGCAGTGTTTACCAGAACCTTCTCTATTGCTGGGTTATTTTAATTATTTGGGTGGAGCACTTAAACTACTCAATCAGCTGGTGACAATCTGGTTTGCCCCAGTGTAAGGGCTGATACTGCGCTGCATCTGGGTGTGCCTGGGCGGACACGCCCTGGTAACAGTCGCTTCCCCTCTGTTCCAGTCCATTCCTATCTTCTAGCTAAGCAATGCAAACAGGCGTGGCTGCAATGGACGCAAATCCAAATCCCAAGCAAGTGTTGGTGAAGCAATACAATTGTCTGTGGCGGTGGACGAACACCCAGTGCCCCCATATTCCCGAGCAGAACAGCCCCAAGACAAGCAAGCGGCCACGCCCTCCCTGACACCAGGCCCACCAGGTGAGGAGATGAGTCTATATCCCCAAACTGTCTGTTCCTAGGGCAAGTGCCTTCCTCCAATGGTAATGTGTATTTGGATGTGCACACCTCCGGTGGTGGGGATTTATTCGCTGAGAGCTGTTTCTCACTGGCCTGTGGAGAAGGCTCTGTTGCTGAAGCTGGCAGATAGTAACTTGTTGACTTACAGGTCTTAGCTCCTCACAAAACTAAGGACAGTACCAATACACCAACTCTTCTGAATCTTGAAAAAATGATGGGGAAAAGGGCACAAGTTTGGGTAATTTCTTAAGTGTGCGGCTATCACTTAAACTAAAGTGAGGATTTCTGTAGTTTATTTCACTGGGAAGGGTTCTGGTGAGTTTTCCATTACAGGATAACTTAAGAGGGCTGGGCAATCCAAGGAGACAGGGATGTCTCCATTTCATTACTGGTTAGTATGACAACAGGGAGCATCGTGACAGGCATGACAGCGACACAGAGGAATCTTCAGGCCAAGGGTGGGGCAGGAGCACAGGAAGGGGTGGCACACACTCTGGAGAGCAATGTCCTGCAGCTCTGGGTAACCAAAAGTAGAAGTCTCCTTTCAAAAACTGACAGTCATTTCTATTAGGACAGAACAGGGCTAACCAAACCATTCAGGACTTCTGCATGCATAAGGAATCCACTAGATGAGAATATTCACTAAAAAATAAAAGAAAAAATAAAGAGAAGAATGTGCTTTCTTCAGAAGTAACCTTCCCACAGGAATAGAGGAAGAAAGGTTATTTTTAGAAATCTGGGTAGTTTTTATTTATTTATTTATTTTTTGTTTACAAATTGTTTTCTTTCTGAATTCCCAAATCAAAATTTTAACCTTTTGAGAAGTGGTAAAAACAATTTCTTTACATGTGCATTTTGTATATATGCTATTTCATATTTTACAAATTAAAAAAAATAAGACTCAAGGAACTACTGGTGATTCTGCCAATACCGGGCAGAGCATAAGCAGCAGAGGCGTAGGGCACAGAGCCAGGGCCTACTCTGGGCCTCAATGTGAAAAAGCACGAGGCTGAGCAGAGGACGCTCCGAGAGCTTCTGTTCTGGTAAGAGCGAAGTGACACTTTCTCTAAGCCACGGTAAAATACCAAATAAGCAGACTGCTTTTGCTGGGTTCTCCTTTTAATGGGGTGGTGGTACTATATACTATTTTTATTCATGTGAGATTAAAAAAAATCTTACAAATGTCCTATGCTACCTTAATGTTTACAAGGTATACTTAAACAAAGACTTTGACCTTTAGGTCAGGCTGAGTTGAAAAAGAAGAGCAATAAATTAGATTTAATACACTTCATACTTAAGAAAGCAGGGAAGACAAAATTTGAGGATTTAAGAGTAGAAACCAAAGCTATTCAATTTTCTTTTTATTTTTTCTTATTTAATTTTTTAAAGTAATTATAATTCTGTATTTCTCAAATGTTTCAATTAATGGGGGTTTTGCTGAATTAAGCATAAACCCCTTCATGGTAAGGACTGAGATTAACTTTTGGTGAAACTCTCTAATTAAATTCTTTAAGTGCCAGATGAAGCTGAAAACTGGTACATGAAGGAGAAAAAGATCATTAATTGCAAAAATACACCTATACATATTTTAACTTCATGTATTAATACAAGTTAAAACATTACAAGTTTAAGTTACTTGCAATTCATTTTAGCTCCTATTTTTTTCAGTTAAGTGCATTTCCTTGCTCTTAATTATTTTATACCAATTTAGCAATGTGGATCTTCATTTTAGCTTGAAATTAGGCTCTTGAGCCATATTTTCATGCTTGATTAAAAGCACTGGAAGTACTCCGAAGAATAAAATGCATCACTGAGGGTTCTGCATCATTTATAAAATTATTCATATTCCCCAGTAGTAAAAACCTATTCACATTTCAAGGATATAATTAATGGGGAAGTTTTTTACTTTAATTTCCCTCTAAGATGATCATGCAATAGTTGGGGGGAAAGGGGTCGATAAAATGACAGGCATGAATGCTATTAAAAATAAATTTAGTTTTTTGATTAATAAAATTCTTATTGCTCAGTTGTTATATTCAGACGTTTGGTTATCTGGTTATCATGCTGCAAAATGTTATTTCCTTAAAGACACTCTGACTTAACTTTTTATTCCAGACACTGGAAAATACTTTGCTGGCTTCCTAATAACCATGGCAACGCACTTCCAAGAGCCTCAGAATGACCTCCATGTCTTGTATAAACATTTTTGGCAGGAATCTCACAGCCAATGCATAAGGATGATCTAATTTTGCAAGTGTTTCATTACCAACGTTCAGATGCGGAACTTAGGCCAAGTTTTTCCCCTTGTGAATATTTTCCAAGCCCGCGGAAGAAAAGAGCAAGGCAGAGTGGGAGCCTTGCCTTGTTCGGTATTCACCACGCCTGAGCCCCTCTATCTAAACCACCCCTACTCTGAAGTCAGGCACCTCTCTGTCACCCATCCATCGTCTCCACGACACAAGCCTTGTACCGGGTGTATAAACACCCGGACTCATTACTTGTCCCCTGGTAGCCTGACAATACCTAGGTGCCAGCTCACAGAGGGGCTGGCTGGGCACTGAGTGTTGAAGGGCGACGCACATCAGTTCCCTCCCAGACACACTCTCCCAGAGAAACTTTCGCACAGCCAAGTTCTTTCTCTTGCAGCTTTCTCCTCAATCACCTTTCATAGCCTCAGCACCATAGCTGTTGTCCACGGTTGTTAAGCAAGTCACTTTATTCTTAAATATTTTTACACACCAAAGTTCAGTTTTTGTAAACCTACTCTGTTAGGACCAGGTTCACCCGGGCCTAAGTTCCATGCTGAGGGACTTCATATCTGGAGGGGGGTAGGGTACAAGTCTAAGAAAGCATAGATTCCAGTTATTAAAGGACGAACAGCTGCTAGGAGGAAACACACCTTACTGATTACTGGGGCCTCGCTGGGAAACTGCATGCCGAATGCCTGTCAAGTCATGAGCAACTCTAGGGGATAACACAAAACACAACGCTGTCATTACTTGGAATAAATAAGGAGAAGGGTTCAGTTGTGGAAAACTTACCACTGAGACAGGGTCCATGGCCTCCTGCTTGACAGGGACTGGGTCAAACATGAGCATTCTTTTAGTTCAACTTTCTAGGGTGTTCTGGTGTTCGGCCTAGAAAACAAAACAAGGTGTCCATCTAAATCCTGAGGTCACTTTGGATATGAGGCAGTAAAAATACTTGTCTATTTTTGGTTTTCTGAGACAGGGTCTCACTAAGTATTCCAGGTTGGTCTTGAACTCGTGATCCTCCTGCTTCAGCCTCCCAGTGCTGAGATTACAAATCCTTGGCTTCAAACTAGTAAAAATAAAATATATTCCTTCCCACCCTCAGAATAGCTGGAACTGTTTCTCTTACCTATGAAAGATGACATTTTATATAATTGAAACCAGACTTGATGGTCATAATCAGACGAGAGTCAACTGGTGTTTCTAACTCAAATGCATAAACCCCGACCTTTTTTTGTGTGTGTGGGGGACAATATATACAGCCCCTCTGAGCAGCAGGCTTGCCGTGCAATTCAATAGTTTACATTATACATGATTGTTAAACACCTTCCCCTTTCTCTTTATGTTCATCACAGAAAAATCAAGGGGGAAAAAAGACAAGCAAAAAGAGAACTTAAGAGCCAACCGTCATTATACCTTTCTTTTCATCCTACCAAAACCTTCTAAGTGGGAGCATACCATCAAAATCAGCGTATTGCTGTGTGAACAGATCAGTTTAACTTATCCTTTTTTAATGAACATTTGGGTTGCTTCTAAATTCTGACCATCACAATGAGCAATGAGCCTCTTTACCTTTGCATCCACCTGCCCATCCTTCATTCATCTCAAAGATAAATTTTCAGAAGGAAAACTCTAGTGTGAGAAGCATGTTTATTTTCTAAAACATTTTACTGGTTGCAAAATGACAGATTATTTTTTATTCTAAGTTGATTTAATTATTGAAGTTGAATTTTTCCTCACCCCCCCATTTAATTTCTTTGGAAAAATGCCAATTTAGGTCTTACCCCCCCCATGACCTTTTTCTGTTTTCTAAACACTTTTGACATACAAAGAATTTCTAGATTGACCTCTACTTGAAAAAGCTGCAAAAGTGCCAGATTTTGGGTTACTTCTTGTATTTCAGTATTAAAACTCCTCCCATCTCCACAATAGCAATCCTGTATGTAGCTGGTTTTGTCTGTGCTCTATGGATGGTGACACTAAGGCATCTTCCCATACAATTACGGAAGCAATACTGCATGGCTCTTGTGCCTCACTGCTCCACTGAGTCTCATGACAACATGTGAATTTTATCCGTATCGAAACATAAGGCCCTGACTTCAAAATTACATTTTCCTACATCACAGAATGCATTATAATCTGCAAATACAATGTGATACCAGGCTGCTCAAATCTATGGTGCTACTACCTTCTCATATAACAAACCAACAGCCAGTGAAAAACGGATGATTTCACAATGAAGGATGAAAACCCTTTTGTGTCTTGGGATCTATTATTAACCAGACCCAGCCTAGCAGCTGTACAGATGGTCACGATTCCAAGAACTGTTGTCCCTGCCCCACACTGGCCCATAAACAAGAGAGGTGGGATCTCCTGCTTACATCACTAAGATCAGATATGCAGCAGTCCCACCCTCGGATGGCTAGGCTGCAGCCTCCCACCAACATCTCCCATAAATTGAATTAGGTCCTACAGATGCATCTATTCCATTAGGTGGTATCTGGATGCAAATCCTTCCAAATAAGAGCATTCATATTCTTCTCAGATGTGAAAGAGCCCTTTGCTAACACACCTAGCTTTAAAAATCAATCCCTTCACCCTTAAATAAAACCCGGATTAAATTCAGTTTAAAAGTTAACAGTGGCCCACATCCTGCATGAAGCTCTCTCGGAGGGACTTGTCGCCTCACAGCTGTATTAGAAGACCTTCTGAGCTGCACTAGCATCTCCATACAGGGTTACCTTGGACTCCTGGCCACCAGCAATTGCAGCATAGAATAAATTAAAATGATGGATGCCGGAGTTCTTTGGGTTCAAATTCTAACACTACCTTTCAGCTCAAATAGGCCTTAATGACTTTGTCTAATGGCAACGATTATTATTGTCTATGGCAATGATTACTGAATCCATTTAGAAATGAATTACACATTAACCTGCTGTATCTTTTATCATTTTAAGCCATTATTTAAATCACTATTGTCCTTTAATTTTTCTGTTTTCTCTAAATTTAAGAAAACCAGTGCTTTGCAAGACTTGTAAGACTAAGACAAATATAAAGTCTAATGTAAACCACTGTTCATAACAAAACCTAGTTTGTTTTTATTATGAAATACAAAGGCATGTTTGTTCATTCAGAACTCTACTTCAAATTCAAATACTGATGAAGGAATATTTCTCATGATAGAACTATTTTAGCTAATAAATGAAGGAGGAATGATGCAATTAGAACACCTTTTTTTGAACCTCATAGCTAAATAATGCAACACTGAATAAAAAAATCTGTGCAAAATTCAAGTATCACAAGGAACAGAACCAAATTCTCTGGCCATCTACACGTCTAACAGTACTTTGTTAATCTAGTAGCTTTAATAGCTTAAATGACCATACTTCTGGGGACAGTCACAGGACAAGACGAATGTCTGAAATGATACACCTTAAACTGTTTAGCAAAAACTTGGGAGTGGGAAGGAGACAGGCTCTATATACCTATGTGGTAATTTTAATTCTATAATTAAAACTTTTAAAAGCAAGAGAGGGAAACTAAGGAAGAAACCAAAGAAGAGAATGAAACACATTATCACATAACAGGCTTTTGTTTATTTGCAAAAAATTTCTATACTCTGTATCAACCACTTCTGGCATTGGTTTAGACTGGGTTCTGGTCTAGAATCAGAAGGGACTGCAATGCCTTCAGAGTGCTTTCCATACAACTGAGAAGTAACAAGTACTAGAAGAATTAGGGTTTCTAAACTTGGTAGCCTTTGTTACCCCGGGCAGCTTAGTGCTCTGGGATATTATTTTTAATTAAAACTACACTGGCAGCAATCTTAAATATAGGCAGTAGGTGGCGCACTGGAATAAGTCTTAGCGCCCAGGACGCGGGCAATGGAATTTGTCAACTTCAGGGTCTTTAAACCTCTGCCTTTTAACCAGACTGACGAATTCTGGTAATCACTTTATGTGGATATCAGAAATGAGGAAGCGTCAAATGTGGTTCTGCTTTTCCTTACTATTTTCTAAACATAAACACATTTACATTTTATATTTAACCAGCTTAGTAGAAACGACTAAACTACGCAATCCTAGGATAACTGCACTGCATTTAAAAAGAAAAAGCCAAACCTTAACAAAAAACAACTTCTAAGTTACTGAGGTGTTTAAAAACAAAAATACAGGAATATTACCATTCCAAAACAATTTTCCATAATTGGAGCAACTATGTTATTTTGCTGGGAAGGACCCATAAATTGAATTTTCAAAAAATAAAAAAAGGAGGAAGAAAAAAATGGCTGAGTGCAGTGGTGTAAGCTTGTAATCCCACCACGCTGAGGCAGAAGGATGGCAAACCCAGTGAGAAGATCCTGTGTTCAGTCCCCAGCACTACAAAAACCAAGAAATGGATTTCTCTCCATGTTCTCTTCACTTATACTCTTCAGATATCGAAAATAAGGGTTAGATTTCCGTGCAAATGCAAAACTGCATGATTAAGTATTAAAAGCTTAGTGAATCATTTACATGACACTCATAGGCAATACAGCTTTGCTTCAAAGTCCTACACCCAGTTGTCTGTGAGGCCTACTGGACAAATGCTCCATGAGAAATACGCAGTGCCTAATATAAGAGGGGTTCTGATGTCACCAAGCCTCCTTGGAAAGCAGCTTGTCTAGAAAGCCGTTCACTATAGAAACACTCTCACAGAGGACTGCCCCTTCCTCAGAAGCGGGGAGAGGGCGCAGAAGGGGCCTGTGAAGGAAGCAGCTTTCCCTGCTTCTTGGGGAACAAAGCAAGGCTTGCCTGACATTCTCCCTTTTTATTTCCTTTTCTTTCCTCACCTCCTCACAGGGTTCCTGCTTTATCCTCCCCAACCCAACCTGACCCTAAGGCTCCCAATTACCTGCTTCCCTCAAAGAAAACCTTTGTTTCCTAGCCAGGTATACACAGAACACTTCCTTTAAACCAACATCATCTGTGAGTGCTCATGCACTCTCTCTCCCAAGTCTTTGCATTTTTAAAGCAAGGGTGCTGGCTCCCCCATTCTCCACTCCCCCAGAACTTCAGGGCGAGACCTGGGTGTGTGTGCAAGTGCGTGCGTGCTTGTGTTTCTTGGCCTGGAGGGCCAGGCAGGCAAACAAAGTCCCTGTAGCTAAACTTCCCTTCTGGAGAAACTTTTCTCTCTTCTTTACCCAAACTCTTCAAAAGCTCCAGATGGGTCGAGTCATATGTAATGGCAGTTGCCCTGCCCCAAAACACAGACAAAGGCAACATTTGAGAGTATCTGGAGACTTAAGAAAAGCTAAATGCCAGTACCTACCTGGAAATGGGTCCTGTTTTCATACCACCCAAGGGCTTCACCTGCCTCGGTCTTCTATGGTTGGTTTGAAAGGAAATAAGACTCCACAAGGTATTTCCAAATCTTTGGCCTTCATAAATTAGTTATTTTGCATTAAATGAGTTTTGCAAATGGGAGAAGTTAATTTATTTTCAGATGAAATATAATGATCCAGTGAGCAAACAATCCGCCCTCTCTCCTCTCTCTGTGAACAAGCCACCCAATTTTACTTTCCTGCCTCCACCCATCTGCTCCACCCCATGGAGAGTTGCCAAGGGAGTCCAACTTGTCCAAACAGGACATGGCTTCAGATAAGACTCTGCCCACACCCTGCACTTCGAAAAGACCCAGTGAAGCAATTGATTTTGTACATAAATAAGGACAGGTGCAAAGGTAACAAGCTAGCAAAATCCTACACATTTCCAGACTGGGGCCCAGCAGAGCAGACCTGTAGGTTTACTACCCTTTAGGTCAGTTCTCAAGTTCAAAGGCACCTGGTTGGTAGCCTTCCACAACCTTCTTAAAGAAATTTCAGCAAACTCGAATTATTCCCTACT